GACCAGTGCTAAAACGGGGGGTTCGTGACACTTTAAACTATTCCAAAAACCAACTTATGCAAAAATAAATAAATAAATAGCAAATATAAATATAGATAGATTCATGTTTCTTCTTTTGTATGTTCTTTTCTGATTGTGTGTGTTTGTGATTTAGGTCTGCAATGTGGGCCCAACAGCAACTACTCCGTCTGTATGACTCCATGCCCAGCATCCTGCGCAGACCTGGCGGCTCCCTCTGAGTGTGAGCAAATACTGTGTGTGGAGGGATGTATCTGCGCCCCTGGCTTTGTCCTGAGCGACCAAGACTGTGTGCCTTACAGCGAGTGTGGATGCACTTACCTCGATCGCTACTATCTGGTGAGTCTTTTGATGCATGTAAAATACTACAGGTTAAAGGTTATGATGTCAAATACACTGCACAGGTCTTGATGATCATGTTTCTCGGCACCTTTCCACACACAGCTGAAGGAGACATTTGTGACAGAAGATTGTTCACAGAGTTGTGAATGTACTAGCACTGGTGCTGTATGTCAAACAAAGGGCTGTGGAGACAATGAGATCTGCACTGTGTACGACACCAAACGCGACTGTTATAAATGTGAGCTATTTCACTCTTTATATTATCACAAGATGTTCTCAAAATATATTTGATAAATATATATTGCATAGCTTTTAGAGTTTTCTAGTCTAGAAACGATACAGAATTGGATATCATGTAGTTATGTTATTATATTACTATGGAAGCCCATTTCTGCCATGCAATAAAAAATAATTGTGAATTTGTATATAATTCATTAGAATTGTGAGATATAAACTAAAAATTCTGACTTTTTTTTTCTCAGAATTCTGAGTTTACATCTCACAATTCAGTCCATGTTTTTTGTTTTTCTCACAGTTTTCATCAGAATTGTAAGATAAAAACTGAGAATTGTGAGAAAAAGTTTTTTTTCCAATGGCGAAAACAAGCTTTCATATGTTACAGATGCTTCAGATGAGTAATGCACTGATTTTTAACTTCTTTTGCCCTCTGTCTCTCAGCGAGTCCATGTCTGAGCTCGCCCTGTGAGAATGATGGGACCTGTGTGGAAAAAGCAGATGGTTCTGGTTACACCTGCACTTGCTCTGAAGGTTTTGAGGGCACAAACTGTGAGATCTTAAAAATCCCCTCTGAGGGAGGCCTGGGTAAGTGAATGGGAACAGACTGTATTCATTCCTAATGTAAGATGCTTAATCGAACTAGTATTTGCATGCCTAAAAATGAAACCATATATGCCGGCCATGTGCAATAAAAGTTTTTTCCTGCTTGCTGTTTTATAGATCAAACAGCTATTATCTTGATTGGAGTCCTCGTGCCCCTTGGCATCATCCTCATAGTCACAGCAACTGTGTGCATTTACAAGAAGTGCAGGTAAAGCCCATTTAAAGAATAAAGGCAGATCTAAAGACACTGATCTTGCAATAAAGTCAAAACCTTTCCAAGCCAAGCATCCACTTGAAATAAGGTGAATTATTTATAAGGTAAATTAATGATTTTTATCCCTTTTTACACAGCCGCAAAAAGATAAATTATGAATCAAGTACATTAGAGTTGAACAAAAAGACAGGTATGTGGTAACTGATTATTATACTTTTTTCTTTCTAAAAATAAAAAAACAACTATGAAATGTGCAATGAGAGTTGTAATTTGAGCATTTCTAAATTTGTCCACAGATCAACCCTATGAAACTCTAGATGAGGGTAAGAAGCAGGAAACAGACAACAGTGTGCTGAAGGCCACAACATTCTGAAGCAAAACCTCAGTTTTTTGACAAAGATTTGCTGACAAGATTTTGTTTATATTTATTCACTAACTGGCAAAACCTATGTTTATATTTTACTTTTTAAAAAATTTTCAGTAACTTATTTGTAAACATCGTTGTAATTTTTGGTGTTAGCTATGTTATGATTTGGGGAATGAGTGCAATTATCAAATGTGTATGAAAATCTGATGTAAAGTAAATTATATTTTCTTCTGAAAATATTTTCTGTGCTTTATTTTTTATTATTTTAAATAAATTAACAAAATTTATGCCCTAGCTGCTTTTATTTAACTTGTTCAAGTGCAACAATCCAATAACCCACAACATTTTCAAGTGCAAAGCAGCAGTTCATAGAAGAGAAAAGTAAAAATGGTCTTGCTTGACCAGCTATCTAAATGATTGAGTTTCACAAGGACTGTCCTCCAGAAGAGCTTCTTGGTGGGTCTTGGCAATTCAAAAATGGCTGAAAGTCCAAACAAACAATACAAGACCATTGCCTCAGCTCTGATACCTTTTGTATAACTTCTAACCTCAAGCTATTTATACAGACTGGGAGTACATCCAATTGTTAAGTGTTGCCAATTAACAATTGTGCTGAGATTTGCCTTGTCAAGAGGCTAAAAAAAAAAGAATCCAAATGTTTTTGAAGTTTTGAGTTTTTGATCCATGCTGTTCAGGAAAACATCAGATCCAGTCACCAGTCCTTTGAACATTCCTTCTTTTTCCTCCAAAAAACAAGTTGCAAAAAAAATAAATAAAGTGCTTACAACAAAATTAAATAAACATGATAGTCCAAATCTTTTTGTTCATAAATGATCTTATCCTGCCAAGCAACTTTTCTTCACAAGTTGTCGATGTAAAATAATTATTAGATAGTCCAAAACAAGAAAAATTACAAGTGAAGTGAATTTTGAATTTTAAAATTAAAATAAGTCACAGTGTTTGTATTAAAACATATTATCTACATCCACAATGCAGTTTTGGATAATTGTTACATTTCCACAGGATAAGAAGTCTGTCTAAATATTTCAGTCTGAAAAAATTAAACATTCAATATCCTATAATCGGACACAATATAAAACCATGTGCAACATTCAACAACAAAGGAAAAGGTTCTTCAGTCCCAAGGATTAATCAGTAGTCCTCACATCTGCACAGAAATGTAAACATTGATAAAAGAAATCAATCGTAACCCCATTAAATGGCACAATGGGGTGACGCTTTAAGCCAGTTGATTATTGATTATCACTACAGCCTGAGGGGTTGTACATATCAAGCTCTGTTAAAGTCTGATGTTCAGTGTAAATGCATAGAAATCAATACTACTGTATGACCAGCATCTGCCCTGATGCTTACTGGGAATTTGTTCCCAGACATTTAGCGGGAGAGGAGCAAGATAATTATGGAGCAAAAGAAAAATGATCCCACATGTTTTTTGTGAACACACACTCCAGTAGGAATGTGACAGCATATTTCCAAAGCCATGAAGGGAGGAGCAGAAATAAAATGGCATCTGCCAATAACACAAGCTCCACCTTCAGGAACCAGAAGTGACTTGATTTGGTATTGAAAGGTTGTGTGTGATCACATGGGGAACCTGTATAAGTTTAACAGCTTGATTAACTGGAGTGTTAACATTAAATAACAGTGAAATAATTTGATGAATAAAATAAATACAAATTTAACAACACACATAACTATGGAGTAAGGAGTATCAATGATATGGAGGGCGGCACTACAGTTACACTGCAGGGTACAATTAATCCCAGACCAAAAACATTCCAGTGTACAGGACTGAAAATTAAAGAAGCCTTCTGATTGCTCACAGGCACAACATTGCAAACCATCTTTCAAGTAATTAAGGAAAACAATAAAAGCACTTTTACAAAGAGGAATTAAATATGGGCAGGGAAATGTTGGCAGTACTGACAAATGAAATTTAAAGACATTAAAAAAAAAAATCTGTCCAATAATAAGTAGTAAACAAAGAAAAACACAAATTTGTATGTGACATCTTTTACAATGGATATGACTAGGCCCAGACAGAATCTGCTGAAAGGGTTAGTTCACCCAAAAATGAAAATTCTGTCATTAATTACTCGCCCTCATGTCGTTTCAAACCCGTAAGACCTTCGTTCATCTTCGGAACACAAATTAAGATATTTTTGATGGCATCTGAGGGCTTTCTGACCCTGCATAGACAGCAACGCAACTGAAATGTTCCCAAGTCCAGAAACGCAGCTGACACAGAACAGCATACATTGTTTACGTCCAGCGGATATTCTTCAAAATGGCACCAGGGTGATGCGGAGGAGACGAATTGTTGAATAAAGTCGTTTTTTTATTCTTTTGCGCACAAAAAGTATTCTTGTAGCTTCGTATAATTGCGGATGAACCCCTGTCACATGGATTATTTTACCGATCTTCCTGCTACGTTTCTGGACTTGGGAACATTTCAGTTGCGTTGCTGTCTATGCAGGGTCAGACAGCTCTCAGATTCCATCAAAAATATCTTAATTTGTGTTCCGAAGATGAACGAAGGTCTTACGGGTTTGAAACGACACGAGGGTGAGTAATTAATGACAGAATTTTCATTTTTGGGTGAACTAACCCTTGAATTCTTCATTCTTTGCCCTGATTTTGGGAGACAAATCTACAGAATAGATTTAAGCAAACACAATGTGTTTAATAGAGTGCTAGACTCATTTGTGGCTGAAAACATAGCCAAACCATTAAAAAAACAAGCGTGCATGGGGCCGGTCCTATGGAGAATCATTTTCTTCAGAAAGATTTCTGAGCACACAGACTCCATGTGGGTCTGGGTATGACTAACCATAACCATCCATTCTCCCTTTAAACAACCATCAATACAATATTTTAACTTGTATGTAACACAAGTTTCAGAACTTCATGACTCCAGTGAAATGTCCTACGGATAAACAATAAAAACCCTGTGTGTTTATGCTTTCTTTTCATTCCTTCTGTCGAAATTGTCAAAAACAGTAGCTGCATGTAAATTGCATTGAAATTATTTTCAAATAATCATAACTACAGCATGTAAACAATGAATGCTGGTAAAACGAAAACAAAAATACATATTGAACTGAAACTGACAGACACCACTTTTTCGATTTACACCGCTTCAATGACACGTGGCTCTTTCCCAAAATTCAAAAATATCCCTATTTCCTCTCCTCTGTCTGGCTGTGTCTGTGTGTGTGTGTGTGTGTGTGTGTGTGTGTGTGCATTTAGGTGTGTGAATCCAGTACCAGCACCTTGCACTCACGCTTGGCAATTTTGTCAAGTGACAAGATGTTCCTGTCTGGAGGGAGGTACAGCGGCCGTCCAACAGGAGAGCCCACGGGAGGGGTGATGGCCCTGCGCTCCATAACACTGCCTGTCCTGTAAGACATGAACATAGACATTGATCTGTGCTGTATAAATGAGACAATCGTTTTTTTTTTTTGACAAAGAAAACATTGTGAAGTGAGGCAGTTGTAAGAGGATGTACCAGTTTACCATAGGCTATATCAGAGTTCCTGCCTATGTAGACAGTTCTAAATCAGTCAACTAAGATCTTCCATTTCAGTTAGAATAATGCTGTAGAACAGGTGTTTTTCACAAATATTACTAACTTGTAAAGACAGCTAAATACATTCATGTATAGACCCATTAATACTGTGTGATCAAAAGTTTGGGGTCACTAAGATTTACCAAGCTGCATTTAATTGATTAGTAATATTGTGAAATATTATTGCTATTTAAAACAAGTGTTCTATTTAATTATTGTTTAAAATGTAATTTATTCCTGTGATGGCAAAGCTGAATTTTCAGAAGCCATTACTCCAGTCTTTGGTGTCACATGATCCTTCAGAAATCATTGTAATATTTGGTGCTGCAGAAATGTTTCTTATTATTATCAATGTTGAAAACAGTTGTACTGCTTAATATTTTTTTGAATCTTTGAGATGTTTTTTTTTTTCTCTTAAAATTCTCATTGACCACAACCTTTTGAACAGTAGTGTATATTGTCACTGCACTAAAAAAAATTATTAAATTAAACTAATTAAATCGTTAAAACATTTTTGGTTGGCAGTGCATCTTTGTTCACCCACTGTGTAAGTAAAATCAAACCTTTAAAATTAATTCAAATAAACATTTTTTAATTACTTACTATTAAAAAGGCTGTCAACGGAAAAAAACAAGTAATCCAAACAAAAAATATATTAAAAAACACACAAAAAAAGAAATTTGTTATATTATATTATTGTTAAACATATTTAATTCATATATAGTGTGTACAGTGTACGTGAGAGAGACAACCTGTAAGATTGAACTGTATTTACATCAAGTGAAATAGATGAAGATCACACACCAAGTGTGTGTGTGTGTGTGTGTGTGTGTGTGTGTGTGTGTGTGTAACGAGAAGGCGATTTATGAGGACATTTTCAGTGTCCCCGTAATTCAAAAGGCTTATAAATAGTTCAGAATGAGTTTTTTTGAAAATCTAAAAATGCAGAAAGTTTCCTGTAAGGGGTAGATTTAGGTGTAGGGTTGGTGTAGGGCAATAGAAAATACAGTTTGTACAGAATAAAAACCATTATGCCTATGGAATGTCCCCACAATTCACAAAAACAAACCTGTGTGTTTAACGCTATACCTTGTGAGATGAAACTTTGATGGTTGCTGGTGAGAAAAGGACTGAGAGCGGCCCAGACTGAGACTGGCCTGATGTCGGTCCAGAATATCTCTAACCGCTGGACTGGACGGACTGTTCTTGCGGGACAACGGACGGGCATCAGGGGGAGGGTTGGACACGGACGCTGTGAACTGTAGCTTCAGTTTCATGTGCTGACTCAACTAAAGACAGAGAAAACAGAATAGCGGATATTGAGGTGTGTAGATCCAGTAATCTAACTCATTGGTTTTGTTGAAGGAAGTGAAACAGAATACGGAATTGCTCACGTCACACACATATTACTCTTTACCTCAAAAAGACCTGCTCGGAGTATCTGAAAAGCCACACTGACGGAAAGGGTACTGCCTTTTCGACAGTAACCCAGGTTACTGAGAGGAGAATGACACACCACTGCATTCACTGCAGGATCCTCTTTCTGTCCACGACCTGAGAAGAAGAGAGAATCAAAAAACATCTGGACATACAGTACAAAGCAATATTTTAGTCATGATCAAGCAGTTAACACACACACACATCAGGAACATTGATATGTGCTGCTCATACAAGATATGCAGGTTCTAATCTGACCCTGGTTACGTCCTAATCTACTTAACATCATTTCCTGTTCTCTCTGCACTTTCCTTATCAATAAAACAGCCTACAAAAAAACACAAAAACAAATAAGCACAAAAAGAAGCCAAAAACTACAATAACATAAAACATTCTATTCATAAAGACATTAAAAAAAAATAAAATCAAAATATGAATGCGTTTGGAAGGGTTATTGTCCATCTGCAATGTCCAATCAGTCAATTTGCAGTCTGGGTACTTTTACTCATTCGTGTTTGATGTGCCAAGCCTGACATTAGCTCATCTGGCATCACATTGCAAATACTCACATACACAGCTACAGCCTCAAACTCTGTGTTCTCTACATCTACAAGCATGAACCACACCCTTTATGAGCAAATAACATTTAGCAACTTTTGCCTTTGCGCTCTACTTTGCTTTTATCAGGCCTGTCTCTGATAGTGTGGCAACACTTTTTCCAATGTTTGCAATATTTTTTATCAACTTTGCAAACAACACTTTTTAATTGACTGTCAATCTCGCATTGCTTAACATCCTCTCACTTTAACTGCTACATTTCCCCCCTTTGGTCGAACACTCTTCTTGACACTTTTTTTGAACATGAACCAAGAAGTCTCTCTCCTCCCTCTTCAAACCAGTGTTGTTAATGTTTACTAAAACTAAAACTCTTAAAACATTGCTTTTGTTAATTGAAAAAAGCTTAAATAAAATGCAATATAAATATTAGAAAATAAACTTATTATAGTGGATTTGGGTGTCCGCCATGACACTCGCTGTGAGAAATACCGCAAGCGGAGTGATACAAACGGTGAAACCGTTGGAGTTCTGTTATCACTCTAATATCACACTCTTATCAGCCATTCAGATTCAAGGACCGGATAGAATAGATAGATAGTTGTATGTATTTTA